ACACACACACACACACACACACACACACACACACTCACTCACTTTCTCTCGCCGAAGTTGCGCGGGCGGGGAGGGCAGGGAGCGGGGGTTGGGGGAGCGACCCATCCCCTACCAATCAATCAATCGATCAATCAATCAATCAATCCAAAAAAAAAAGAAAGTAAAAGAAAAAAAACGAGAAAAACGGGTTTTCCCGTTTTTTTTTTTTTACTTTTTTTCTCTCTTTTGATTGATTGATTGATTGATTGATTGGCAGGGGATGGGTCGCCCACCCAACCCCCACCCAAACACACACACACACACACATGGGGCAACTGCCCGTTTTTTTTTTGCTACCAAAGTTTTTTTTTTTCCCTTTTTTGTCTCGTTGTTTTTTTTTTTGTTTTTTGTTTTATTTTTTAAAAATTTTGTTTAAGGCCAAAAAATCGCAAAAAAAATATGAGGTTGTAAATCTCGGAAAGATCTACAACCCCATTTTTTTTATTTTTATTTTTGATTGTGTTTTGCCCCTGGACCACCTTCGTACGGCCGTAGTCCGTACGCCCGTACGGGCGTACGTCCGTCCGTCCGTACGGGCCGTACGGAGACCCCCCGTACGACGTACGGGCGACGACACAGACATGCAGTCCACCTTCTTCTCAAACATCCAAGACTTGAGTCTTTTCCGCTTCTCTCTCCCTGACGTATCCCCTAACCCTCGCTGCCTCGCACATTCCAAGTTGCCAAGACTAGCTTAACCATGAGAACGTGCTTCCTCCGCTGACAGTTGGATGCGAGAATCTTGCTGGTTATCACCCCATCTGCGCTGTTCTCGCGCCGGGGACTGTTGCATTGAACTTAACCCTCCTGAACCTTGGGAGTGTGAGGACAGGGCAGAGGATCCCCACCCTGCCACCAGGGCATTACCCAAAAACTTTGACTGTAGGTTCTTCTCCACCGGTAAAGAAGTATTTAGCTGTAACAGGAGGAGCGCCGAGACATCCTGGGATAAGGCTATCGTCTCCAACTCATGGCTGTTCCGAACCCTTACTCCATCTAACGTGAACCACCTAACTCCTGCTTGAAACAAGGCATCTGCTGTCACTTCATCAATGCGAGCATCGATTAAGGGAAAATAGAATTTTGTCGTCCTATTGTCCAATGGAACTTGACAATTAGCCAACTTAGCCATCACAGATCTCGGCACAATATGCATTGGGAAGGCATCTCCATATAGATATTTAGCCCTCGTAATAATCTCTCCAGGAAGAGGGGTTCTCTCAGTCGGTACAGATGGTAAATGCGCACTGCCATCCAGCTGAGATTTCCCCAGGAACACAGTTGCACCTCTTATCACCGTACACACCAGTGGGACCAACCTGCGGTCTATTGGCAGAGTTCTCTTGTAACCCCTCTTACTGGTAGTGTCATACTCTGCTCCCCTCCTCCTAAGGGCCTCTGCCAAGCTACCTGTAGAGGACTGAGATCCCTCTGCTTGAAGAAATCCAGAGCCTAGTAGGGCTAGATCATCCCCCACCAGGTCGCTCCCCATTTCCACCTTAGAGTGGGAGTTTGTGGAGAGCCTTGAGTTTTCCTCTACAATGCCTCCTTCTCCTCCCAGCAACGCTCTGCCCGAGTTCTGGCCTTGTGTTCTCCTCCTAGAGACATCAACTTCTCTGCTGTCTCCTCTTGCGCTGAGCTGGGCTGGGTGTATCCGTCTCCCCTGAGCCGACCCTCCTTGGCCTGAGCGAGCTCCTCTGCTTACCCCCGGACTGCAACTGCAGGTAGGCTTCATCTTGGTTCCTTCTCCATTTCGGAGGTCTTGCGTAAGCAAACCTGTGGTTCCACTGGGACTCTGTCTGGTAAAGACCAGCTTCCTCTCCTGGATAGGGGTACGCCTGCAACTGTTGACAGTCCACAACCCTGGCATCCTTGGTGGTTCCGGTGGCCTTGCGGTATTAGCATCTGAGGAGCTTCGTTGGGCCAGTTCAGATGAGTTGACCAAGGAGGCATTAGGCTGCTACCCGGAGGCTGACGGTGAACCTGTTGATAATGGAAGGAATGTAGGCTCTGTGGACCTGCCCCCTCTCCACCTTGCAACAGCGTCGCTCGAGGATGATAGATAACAGCATGGGCCGGCCCCGTCCCTCCTGTTGGTTGTCTTTCCCCCTGTGACTCTGCCTGTTGTCCATACCCTGGCGCCTGCGGCCCAACGTGGCCACTCTGGGCTTCAAGGGCTTGCCGTGGATGCTGCTCTGGTGGAACCGGTGCAGGACCACCTCCCACTGGGTTCTGGGCTACCACTTGTTCCCTGTGTTGTTGCTGTTGCTGTGGCTGTTGCTGTTGCTGTGGCTGGCCATTCTGAGGAGGAAGCCTTGAGTTCGCCCACGTTCTCCTAGGTCTCCCATCCATGGCCTGCCTGGGACAGTTTTCTTCGGTATGGAAGTACCAGCAACATCTGCGGCACCAATCCGAAAATGGGGTTGCCACTTCCACCTTCCAAATCTCCCCTTTAGGCGATTCGATGGTTAGGTGATCCTCCACTCTGAATCTGGTTTGCGGCTCCATGTCCAACTTTTTTTTTTTTTTTTTTTTTTTTTTAACACAGTCCCTCCAGTGCTAGTGATGTTGTTGGGGATAGACACCACTAGCACCTGGAGAGAAGCTCCGTCTATTGGTGGGAAGCATCACCTGCTGGAAAACGGGTCCAGCGTCCCTTACACAGAATGAATTCAATATGATACATATGATACATTGGATGATCGTGGGAGGATAAGTGGATGGTGCCTGCCAGCATTGATTACTCTGGAGACCAGAGGATTGACTGCGCAGGTGTGAGCCTGAACCCGACTTATGCTGATGCACACTATTCGTCCTTGTCATTCTCTCCATTCTTATGCCCGAACAGGATTCTGAGAAGGGCCACCGGGGGGCACCAGTGGGTCCTTCCTTCTCCTGCCCGGCCCTCTCCGTCGGGTGTACTCTGCTACCACGCACTCATACACATACTGTGTTGGAATGATAATTTGATAGCTCGATGGAGGGCTGCCATTCGTCTGGAGACGTGGAGTCATCCCTCCTGTCGTAGATCAAGAGACAATGGGTGGGGCGGGAATGGATCCGGGAAGTCCTCTGATGGTCTCAAGGGTACGCTGCAGTCGATGGTCAACCAATCTTTAAACTTTAAACGGTAGTATCGTGGCACCGTCCTCCCTTATTGTCCTCCCTCCCTGTCCTCCCCACCATTTTCGTTCCCTGACCAGCTCACCTCTGCTACCCACCCCTCTCGATCTCCTCCCAGCCACTCCCTAGATAACTGCCTTATCCTCTCCTCGATGTCTTTTGCCCTGTGGAGGGTGTCAAGGGTGAGCTTGATAGACTTCCATTTGAACTCAAGTTCCATTTGTATATGTTGTTTAAACTGTTTCCTCACCCTCGACTCGTACCTGGTCAAAAACTAGAGCACAGCGTTGCCACCATAAGACCCATAGGACCGTCTTCTGCCTAAATGGAACACGTTCCAGGCAAAAATGTTTCCTTGGAGAGGTGGATAGTGTCCCAAGAGAATGGCTCGCCATTCCCACGGCCACCGCTGTCCTGGAACAATTTGCTGCCACAGTCTAGCCCACCACCTCCAGGTTAGAACTGTTGTCGGGCATTGTCGAAAAATGTGTTCTATTGTTTCTGCTCTCTTCTTTGTTGGAAAGCCCGACAGGCAGCGTGAACACCACGGAAGGGCCCGACCCTGCTGTTCCAGGTGCGTATGGTCAATGAGCCAATCGTTAGTTGGTAGACAGCGGTGCAGTATCTGCCATTGAAGGGACGTAATCTTTGCAGGTCTGCAGTTGATGTCGCCAAACCATCGAACGGGTGTAAGGAGCCGTCTATCCACATTAAGGTGCCTCTGCCATCTGTCAATCACGACATCCTTCAGGCACCGTTTGGTTCTGATTTTTATGTAGGTTGCTTTTACTGAGAGGTCATGGAGTTTGACTGCCCCGATTTATGGTGTGCTTCATAGGTCCAGATCCACTCCAGCGGGTCTAAAGGAAGGTCCCGAATGACCGTCTCGGGCATGAATGCCTTCCGTTTCTCCCCTTCCCCTATAGTCCTGATTCTATATAGGTTCACCTTCGGTATCCATTGGAAGGGATCCCGGCTACTCACTTAACGTTCATCAGTTTTGGCTTTGATCCGTCTGCCTCCGGTGGGTGCATATGTTTGACTCCTCCTATCAGTCCCTCCGCTGCTGAGGCCACGTAGTACATTGCTTCGAGGGGTACCCTAAGAGCAACAATCCAAAAGTTCACTTCAGCTTCAGATTTTTTAACTGTTGCTTCGTCATTCAGTGTTTCAGCATCACCGTATAATCTTTCCCTTTTAGGTTTAGTGCAATCGTTCCCTTTTAGGTTACGCGATCCAGGGTTTCAGCGTCACCGTATAATCTTCCCTTTTAGGTTTAGTGAAATCGTTCCCCACTGCGTAAGTGGCTAATCCTCTCTTCTCTGTATCGTTCCATTTTTTTTTTTTTTACTAGCTCACCTTTACCAGTACCTGGAACGCGTGGGAAAATTTGGGAAAACTGACAATCTTGAAAATTTGGAGGTCGGGCCCGACGTCAAACGAAACGACACCCGCCGATCAAATTTATCAATGGTTGTCGTTTCGTTTGTTGTCGGGCCCGGCCTCCTTTCAGGATTGCCAGTTTTCCCTGTTTTCCCACGCATTCCAGGTACTGGTGGTTTGGTAAGAAATCGTTGAGGACGGGGTCCTCACAGTCTACCCAAAGAACTAAAACTCTGGGAGCCTTACCCAGTTTATGCTTTTGACGGGACCAAAAACGGACCCCAGCAATCCTTCAGAACCAATCCAATACCAATCCACTTACTCAAGCTACTACATTCCTAGCTTTAACTCACCATCTAAAGCCATAGTAAAGAAATAAAAAGCAACTCAGTAACTGCTACCGTATCACAGACCAATTTTAACGGATGTTCCGAAGGACCGTATTGAGATTTTATTCTGCACTATTTCCCTATTTTTTTAAACACGCAGTTATTTCGCCGCGACGCCGTGTGCTGCGGGGATCCCGGCGACATTGCACGGTGGTCCCCATTGCCGCGTTTGGCCCTGGCTTTGTCTAAAACGGCCCTTGTGGGGGCTCAATTCGTGGTAGAGGTTTTTCAAATTGGCGGTACGAATTTTCGAATTTCCAGAAAAACTCGTGACGTCTGCGTCGCCGCATCATGATGAAGAAGCCGAGGGGCGCAGCGCTACCGGGAGCGCTGCACCCCTGACCTCGCACGGATTACGAACGTGCCACGACGTGGGCGGGAGGCGAGGCGCTGGCGGCGAGTCGGAAGCATGGTGTTGGTTGCTTGCACGAGGCGAGGTGTTGGCAGCTCTATGGTCGAGAGACGCTGGCTGCCCGAAGGATGTGAGGTGCATGTCGCCTGTGAATGGTGAGGCGCTGGCAGCTGTCGGGTGGTGAGGCTCTGGAGACTAAATGAGTAACGAGTGCTGGTTGCTGGTGAGTGGCGAGGCGTTGGTTTCTTACATGTGGCGAGGTGCTGGTTTTTTTTTGCAAACGTCATGGTGCTGGACGCGTCACGGTGCTGGTGTGAGCTAATCCTACAGAGATGATGAATCAGATTTTGGATGGCGACAAAGGGCTTCATCCTTATCACTTGCTGTCTACTGACTTTTGAAAGCACTTTCAGTGTCATCTCTCTGCTTCGCGTTTCACGTGAGTGATGCTGCTAGCTAGTATGCCGTGTGAAAGAGAGTTTTGCTTCAGGTGTGATCACTCTTTCTCTTCATCTTGCGAGTTTGGTGGAGGAAGGTCGGCTCGTCGCGAGAAGGAGAAGAGCAGAGTGTGTCCCGTGGGGTGGGAGGAGGATTGTCGGGAGATAGTGAGTGGGAGGTCTTCGAGAAATGAGTCCAAGAGTCATCAAGCGATCATTACAAGTGAGGAGACTTCAACTCGGAGTTTAGTTGCCGTCTGTTCATCGTCCTTTCTGTGTCATCCAAACTACATTTACAGGGGAGCGTCATCAACATTTTAATCAGTAGGTTTCGGCATTATCATTATCATTGTTGTCTTCGTCAGAGTCATCATCTTCAGCTTCATTATGAGGGGAGTGTCATCAACATTTCAATCAGCAGGGTTCGATATTATCATCATTGTTATCGTCTTCATCATAATCAACATCTTCTTAGAATAGGAGGGGGGACAGGGAGATGAGGGGGTGGAAGGGGGAGTTGTACGAATACCGACTGTACTCATCTCAGATTGTCTTTCCTCTCTGTCTGGTCTCTAGTTACCCGAAACCTTTTTAATTTTTCTCATTTTATTTTCAATCAACTAATCAGTTATTATACGATCTTCTAATCTTTATTTCAGTAAACATCTCAACATACGATCTCATTATCATCCTTTTACGAACTGAATAAACTTTCTCTAACTAATTTCCAAACGAGCATCTTCATTGATGTGTCATCATCATCATCATCATCATCATCATCATCATCATCATCATCATTAGCATTACTGACATCATCATCATCATCATCATCATCATCATCATCAACATCATCATCATTATGTGCATCATCAACATTAGCATCATCATCATCATCATCATCATCATCATCATCATCATCATCATCATCATCTATATCAACACTGAATTCGTGAAAATCTAACAAAACCACAAAACCTAACATTTTTTATAGAATGAAAAAGTAAAAGTCAAAATCTTATATTTGACACATAAAAGAGAGCGTTTTTAACTGTTTTTCAACAAAGGAGGCAAAAAAATTGGCAAAAAGTTCAGTGATTCTCAAGATGTGCAAGAAAATCATTTCCAATAAAAAAACATGTTTTAGGACTATAAATCCTTTTTAGTAGACTGA